AATGGATACTGCCTGGCCAATTTGGTATGGTTTTTGCAACCACCCAAAGAATTGATTGGAGATTAACTCTTTTCTGTATACTTGCACTGATGAAGGTAACACTTAAAATTAGAGTCAATTCCGCGTCACCGAGTGGGTTGTTATTGTCATTATTTAGAAATGTTTTGAATTCTTTGTAATTGTTTGTCTAAGAAATTTCATAATTTGGAAATATTTTGAACATCTTGTCAATATTCTAAATAATTCCCTGGTTTTCTAAAACGTTTGAAATATTCCTGATGTGGATTATGACATTTCCAATAGTTTCTAAATATTTCTAACAGCACTCTACCATTTTTTACCATTATTTCGAATTATTTCTAACATTTTGTAAATAGGTCAGTGGGATGGGAAGGAAGTAATTCACACATACCTCTGGAGTACAGGGTAGACTGCCTGGGCGTCAGGCATTGATGCCTTACAACAAAAGAGCGACCAGTGCCCAGCAGTGAAATCTAAAAATATACAGAGGAAGACAGAAGAGTAGGATTAGCACCTACTTTTATGGGGGCAATTACCCACATCTACCATTTGGTTATTTGTTTGAAATAGTTCTAAATATTTCGAATTGTGAAAGAAACACATGGTTCAAATTGTTCAAATTTATTCTAAAGAAAGAGATCTTTGTACAGTCACATTCAAAATGTTTCAGAAATATATAAATGAATTCAAATATATTCAAATTTTCATTTTCAAATTTTTGAAAAATTTAGAACTTTTGTTACTGGGGTATTCTTTTCTTCTAAATAATTCAAACGTATTAGAAACATGAAGAAAAAACCCACTCGGTGACGCGGAATGGACTCTATGATGGTCAAATTGACCCTTGTTACCGTATAACGTTACGTAGTTTTGATGCCTGTAGCGATGTTTGCTTCTTATAAATAGCTCTAACTGATAGGTATAAATTAGATGAATTGAAAAATTCGATACCATTATATGAAAAAATCTCAAACTTTATTCACAAAATACATCAATAGGTACCAAGGTAGGTGATACAGTATGTAAAATTCGAGCCGTTTTATGTAGCTGACATATTCTCTTTGCCTTATATGTTCCATATGACATACCAGCATAATGTGGAAAACGGAAGTATATACTTAATGTAGCTAACATAGGAAAGGTGATTTTCTTTGGATTTTCCACTTGGACAGAATATTCATCTGTCTTATTCTACTGATACATATCAGTCAATGTGCTCTGTACATTATCATAGTACCCATCGCAAACACTATGCATTTTTGGTTGTATTACGATGTCTATAATCTTGGAAGATTTTAGAAGAGTTGTACACACGAAGTGCTTACTGTATTGCACAATGCATATCATTAAATACGTCTTACGAGATCATTTGTTGACACTAGTAAATCATAAAAGTATATAAAATCACGTACAGGAATTGATGTATTCAAACATAGCATTGGTCATCGCATATCTTTTAATGCAGATACATTTTGCTTTAGATTGTTGCAGGTGGGGAGGGAGGCTTTCCCATCTCTGGTGCACACTTCTCTGGCAGCACCCTACCTAGAATCTTAGACAGCAGTATGTCAAATTTCTCCTGTCCAAATCTAGCCGGATGTTCTATCGGCCCATACATGTGACACCCCTGAAGAACCGGTGGAACATATCTTCGGTCAATCTTGTCGAAGAAAACTGGCAGAAACTTCTTGTAACAGTCGGGGTTAGCCAACTGACCGAAGATGACTTTGCCTTCAAAGCTAGCCATGTGTCCATGTGGTGAGTCTGAGCTTTTCTGGCCCATGACGCATTCTAGGTAGTGAGGACTGCAGACCATCAGGACGTAATCTGCCTGGACGATCTGGTTCTGCATCCAGGTTGTCCACATGTCGGGAGGGTTGTACTCGGCGTACTGGTCTATCATACAGTCTACGCCGTTCTGTCGGAGTGCATCTGCGAGGCTCTTCACTCTTCTTCTCTGGAGTTGGACGTCTTCATCGCGTTGGGAAGGGTCACTGTTGTTATACGGGTCCATGCTGTAGCTTATGAAAACTGGAGAGGGGGAAATAATGCAACCTATATTCAATGCAACATACACTCATATTCACACGTGCTTTTAAAACAAACAAGGTTTGTCACTCATGGCTCTCCGTTCTTGGTATGACACATTGTCATAGATACACTGCCAAAATGAGAGTCGGTGTATTTCTGCAAACTTTATCGTGCCAATCTAGGTACTGAAATAATAACTATGCCATCTACAAAAATAGGACAGGCAAAACTTACCTCTTTTCACTCTCCTCTTTTGATCGTCTTCATCAGTAGATCGGGAAGCGCAAGTTTCATTTCCCTCTGTACAGAATATAGAATTGACCCATCTAAAACCATACTATGCCAGTAGACATATTTATCCCAAATGAAAAGTATATGACATGATGATGACATGAGACTTTTTGCCACATTCTAATATCAAGTGTCTTAAAAGAAATCTATAACGTTATAGTATTACTTAGTCCGTCGTATAAAGATTGCTATAGGTAGAAAAAAACGGTTGAATAAATTTGGTAGCTCACCAAGTTTGATCTTTTTGCGTTTGCCTCTATTATCAGTTGTCTCTGATGGGTTGATCCCTACTTCTGCAGCTCTTCTTCCTGATAATAGTAAATTTCAAGTTGGTCACCTCCTAATTAAACATAAACAACATTTCTGGCATCCTACAGCTCAGTTTGTCCTAGATAACTAAACATAGCAGCATATTCGGGCTCAGTGACTTACGTGGACTTTCTCCTCTCTCTTCTCTTGCAAGATCTTCCACTTCCTCGACCAGCTCCCACTTCTGCAGGGCTCTTAAGAGCGACGACAACAAACTCAGATCGCCTTCGGGTAGTCTGGCGTCGTCTTCCAACATGTTAAACATTTCATGGGGAGTGGCTTTTTGTACCTTTGCGACCCCAAGGTGCCCATCTTTTACTATAGAGTCACGCAGTGTCTTGACTTCACTGTCAGAAAGGCTGTTTGAAATCTTCAGGTACAGCAAGTTTCGTTGAGAAAGGCCAGCCATGTTTTTGTTGTTCAGTCACCTTTCATCTCACCTGGGTTATTCAAGATGGCGGCGCCCATGTGGAATGCGGAAGTGACCTTGGCGCCCCCCTCCCCACCTGTTCGTTGCAGTTACAGTATGATGTAGCGCATAGATGGAGTGGCAAATTTGAGGGGCAAAACCATGGCTTTTCGAGAGTGGCTATGTTTTGGACAAAACAAAATAGTTTTTCTCCTAGTTTTTAGATGAAGCATGTGTAATTAGTGTGTTTGTCAAATGTATTGTTTGCTAATTGATACTTCAATACATAACTGTATATACTCATAGTTGTAAGAATAATATATGAATATGAAACCTCTACAGGTGGATTATTTATTTATGATCAGAGATGCGACAACGAGTTTACTTTCAAGTTGGCGTGGATAAGAAAAAAACATGGCTATACTTGAACTTGTTTTTGTTTCCTTTTTTTTGGATCCAGGATGGATTAACTTCATTGTAACTCTTTGGCGTGCTTTATGCACTAGAAAGCAAGAAGAAAGAATGAACGACCAATTACACTTCAACTCACAAAGCACAGGGATACTTTATTACATGTATCCGTTGAAAAATATATCAAGCATTCTTGTCTTAGTAGATTGTATGAATGATGTGCATCAAACAACATGTATATGGTATCATGATTATGATATTGATTTAGTTATTGTGATTCCTCCATATACAAAAGTATAAAGTACATATACCCAACACGATCAAACATGTGTTACTGGTAGAGCTGTGTACCTAAACAAATTTTAGGTACAGGTACAGGTACAGGTACACAGGTTTAGGTACAGGTCCGGACCTGAACCTGTACCTGAACAATTCGACCAATTTATATGCTCTTCTGAACTCCTTCAATAACAAAAAAAACATAAATAAACTTGATAGTTAAGGTTTATTCTTTGTTTATGGCGAATGTTCAGATAAAATATAGGCTATATATATGTTTTTGTTTTCATGAACACACTGTCCTTACACAGGGACCCATTGTTAACCAGCTATTTACACATTTGAGGTCACAAATAGGCATAAAATCGGTGTGAAATTGTTTAGGTACAGTACCGGTACTGAGGGATTAGGTATTTTGGACCTGTACCTAATCAATTTTACCGGTACAGTATCGGTACTGCGTACCGGTACACAGCTCTAGTTACTGGTGAAACATATCTGTCACTGGCTCTAGATTTTTGTAATCATTTGATACAGATTTTCTCTTACTTTCTTACATTACTAGATGAAGTTGACACTAACATGATTTATCTAATATAGGGCCACATTAAGGAGGCACTTTGTGGGTTTGGTGTCAAGTATCAATATAAAAATCAATTAGATATCTAATGAAATTTCATAAAAACTGTTGGTTCTAAAATGTAACATTTTCTTCCTGTTTTGTGGAAGAATAAAACCTTTCAATTAAGATCTAATAGACAGGCATTTATTGTTTCTGTTATTGCTTGGGGCAAAAATCGTTTAGAACGCAGGCTGGCGCACAGGGGGTGGGCCCTGGCCTGGCGGATTCCTGCCCAAGATTTTCGACAACAGCTTCAAGTATTCCCCTTCCAGCGTCGGAGGTGTTACTATCGGTCCAAAGAAATTAGCACCTCCGAATACATCTGGAACGTGGTCACGTTCAATTGGACCGAAGAAAACGGGTAGGAACTTTCCATGGTTTTGGGGCTTACTCAACAAACTGTAGATAACCTTTCCCTCAAACCTAACACCATACCCAGACACTGTTTTCTCATTTTGTTTCCCCATCACACACTCTTTGTAGTGAGGGCTACAAATCATCAGAACATAGTCAGCTTTGACTATCTCTGTCTCCATCCATCTGGTCCACAGCTGTGGGGGGTTGTACTCGTCATATTGGTCGATCCATGCGTCCACTCCGTCGTTGCGCAGCCTGTCCGCAAGTGCCCTGACCATCCTCCTCTGTTCCTCAACGTCAGTAGAGCGTTGCAGAGGCGTGCGGCTCTGGTCGATGTACGGATCCATGCTGTAGCTGATGAACACTAGAGGAAGAAAGAGTAAAGCTATGTGTTTTCATACAATCCTGTTTGACATCACGATTCATGCTCTATATGAATCATAAAATTCTATCACTAGTAAAAGGATGATACAATTGGGGACACTCACCAATGAAACGTAACTGAATGTATGAGAAGCAAACGATGTATAAGACTTGCAATTGTCCCCATACTGGTTGCTTGTTATTTTACATTTTCATATAAAGCATATGCATATTTTACACTCAGCACCGCACAAAACCAATTCTTTTAGCACGTGAATGTATCTTTACACATGCTTTAAGACTGACCAGCAAATGACAAACATCAAATAACATCAAACTGTCGTCTTGTCTTACCTCGTTTAGGAGTCTCACTGGACGACGATGCTGAAAGAAGAATAAATAAAAATTAAAGAAGAAAAAACTGATGCTTGATATAAACATTTTGGAATCTTCATGCATTTCATATTTATTGCTACATATACAGTTCTGGTTCGTATTAAAAAACGACAGTCAAGACGTTTCTATTTCATACCTCTGCCTTCACCATTGTCCCTTTTGCGTTTGGTGCCCTTGCCCGTGCTGGCTGTTGGTGTTGCTGTTATGTTGGATATGACAAGAAATCAGATCAACAAACAATGGAAGATGCATTAATTCACAATGATTGACTGACTGGGTCTGCGCATCTATTCACAAGCAGTCAATTACTTGTATATACGTTTCTGGGTAGTCTTCTTCATTTGTATCTTTTCTTGATGATGATTTTTTGTGGGGAGGGGGGCACAGAAAACGAGATATCAAAAGTCGAATAATTATTACCACGCACAAATATACTAATGATTCTCTTTACTTAGTTACTTTCATTACCTTTGCCAAGAAGGTTATGTTTTTGTTGGCGTTTTTATGTACAATGTATGGATATGTGTATGTGTACGCGTACGTGTAGTCAAGAATAGCGTAACTTCTTGAAGATAAGACTGTCATTGGGTGAAAAATATGATCATTTGAGATGATTCATGTCAATGAAAACGTTATCACCTTGTTTCACTTTCGTTGTTTTACTTTCATTTTCATGTACATTGTCTAGTATCCTTACTTGGTACATCAAAACACCGCCCTTAATACAGTCAGTGCCATGTTGTGACGTCTCTTTAACAAACATAAATGGCATACATATGGTACAGATGCACCAAACTACTTGGGAGCTGTAATTTTAGATTAAATACTTGTTTTAGTACACAACAAAAGACTCCTACCGTGCGCCATCTTGTCTCCTTCTCAATATCAGAACAAGCCGCAAGTCTGACGAATCTTTGGGTCGTCAAAAGCGTCCGCGTGGTACTACAAACATATCAACATCATCGTTTAGTTAAACGATAAAATTGATTGTACACTAAATTGTGTTACAGACCTATAGTTTGTTAAAACGTGCCCACTTGGATGAACTTGGATGGAGTTCCCACATGGATGAAGTTCATTTGATGCTAGACGTTGATTTGACAACAAAGCGGTCTTTTTAAACCATTGGCTAAGATCTCAATAACCAAACCTATCTTTACTTTAAGTTTAAAGTGATCAAAACACGGTACAACTACAAGTTTAAATTATGAACCAACAATTTACCTGTCTTCTACCAAGTGCTCTCTTGGGAAACAGACGCTACAGGTGCACAACCCGTGACCGAAACTGATCAGGTACATGTGACGTTATGGCTAAATATAACATTCCAAATAGACAGGACAGAGTAGACACCTGTTTAGCATACTAGAACTCAACTGGCTTATTATTGTTGTCACGTTGGAAATATACTATCTTAAAATGTTTGCCATTATCTTAGTGTATTTGTTTGTATTCTTTTAGATCAAATCTTCCGTTATGAAGTTTTTTACATCTAAACCGTATTCTTCAATCCGTCATCTCTCCCAACGTTCACAGCCAATGAGAGGAAAGCTTACATGCATCCATCACGCCCGAGGAATGTGGACAGGTTTAGAGGCCAAACAACATGGTCACTGCAAATGAAAACTGTTCGAACAAAGCAAGGGTGTTTGTACAATATAGTTTGTAAGGTCTATTTGATTGGTCATTCGAACAAAAGCATGTCGTATTTACTAGGCTCTTTACATTAGAGTCTGTACCCCATCGACGGTATGTTTTCTTGATTGTTATTCTATTAAATCATCTGAATACATACAGCCTTCACCTGGCCGTTTCAAGTTTTAGGCATAAAGTGTAAGAATTATTAAAGCAAAAGGTTTCATACCTTCGCCTTATGATATTTTACTACTACCGACTTTAAAATGTTGTTGATGATGCATATAAGATCCTCATTTTAGTGAATTGTATCGGTTGATCATATTCTCCACCGATCTTATCTTAACAATGAAGGCACACACAGAGACAGGCACATGGTTAAAAAACATAACCTCCTTGGCGAAGGTAGTAACTATTAACAAAATCACAACAACAAATATAAACCTAACATAAAGTTGAATGCATCACCAATTAAAATGAAAATGTTTTGATTATGACTCTGGACACATTCAAGACATATGGAAGCAAACTAGCCTAAGACAGCTTTGTCTAGCTGCACCTAAGTTTCTTTCTTGCGAGATTTAAACTTTGTTGGCACCTTTCCTATTGGAGGAGGGATTTTATGTTTTGGAATCCTTCCGACTATCTTACATAACAGTTGGTCAAACTTCTCTTGACCATATTTTGGACTTTCTCCCAAAGGACCGTAGAAGTGAGCACCTTTCAAACATGTTGGTACAAGACTTCTGTCGACATTATCGAAAAACACGGGCAGAAATTTGCCATGACTCTTCGAATCCGCCAACTGACTATAGAAAAGCATGCCCTGAAATCTAGCGCCACTTTCTGTAGTTGTTTCTTCATTTCTTCTACCTCTGATACATTCTAGATAGTTTGGCGTGCACACCATCAACACATAGTCCGATTTTTCTATCTGTTCTTCCGTCCATTTGGTCCAGAAGGCTGGTGGACTGTGATCCTCGTATTGATCTAGCATACTCTCTACTCCGTTTCTGCGTAGTTCGTCGCTGAGTGCCTTCACTCGGTCTTTCTGAAGCTTCACGTGTTTCTTTATGTCTTCTTTCGTTCGTTTCTTGTCGATGTAAGGATCCGAGCAGTAGCTGATGAAGACTGGAACAAAGTTTATGAGTTAAGTTTGTAAGATATCTAACCATGAAAGCTGCAAAAAAGTATTCTGTGGACTTGGCCAACACCAGTTGCCATGATGACAGACGTCTGGTTCAGGTCATTGACCCTATTTGTTTGGAGAAGAAGATGAAACTGAGCAACAACAACATGTTTTCCTTCCGCATATGTACAACAAAGGCCTTCATTCAGTATCTAAAGGGTTCCGAAATGTAAAGAGCAAACAAAGGTGGCAGCACACCTCGTTGGGCTTCTGTTGATGCCTGACTCCCTCTACGTTCAACATCTGGTTTTGTGCGTCTGCTCTCTGGAAAAAAAGATATAAAATGACAATGACTACATGCGTATGCCTAACTACAAAGCAAATCAATTGTTGGCAAACCAGTTTTCTCACAAATAAAGACGTAATTCAAAAAAGTGTATAATTAATATTTGACACTATAACACTATATATATATATATGTTACCTACCAGGCCGTGGTCTGGTTGCTTGAGTGGTTTGAACTTTGGTTCCACTTGGCCCAGGCCTTGGAGTATCCGAGTTTCCTGTAGTCAGTGAAACAGATCTGGAGTTTCAACGGCATATGGGCGCATAGCATATACAACTAACAATATTTTAGGAATACGGGGTGCAAGACAAAGTAAAGTCATATAGTCAAATAATAACAAAACTATACACTCAAAAGGAAAACTGCAATCTATCATTATACCAAATTGTCAGTAACAAATATAAAATGCACCAGCATTGTGACGCATTATGTTGTGTATGAGAGGTTTAGTTTCTTCGTTTCTCAGCATCAAAATAAGCATTTCAATTTAATTTTATGGGGGATTATTGTATCTATGTATGCAGCTTTAGATGGCTAGGAATTAATTAGGATTTAATTAATTAGGATTAGCATATGCCGATTAGCATATGAATCGATGCAAGATGGCTGCTATTTGATTTTTCTGCTGCTGAATCCGCTGAAAATCCCGATCAAACTGAACCATCCGCCTCTCACAACTTTCAAGGTCACGAAGATACGGAAGGATAAAAAGGCAAGTGAGTTTCAAACCCATGAAATATCACAACTTCCTAAAATTTTACCTTCTAATTCTCGCCTCTCTTTTCGTTCTACCTCCCTGACTTCGTCTGCCAACCTTCTGTGGCTTAGCTGTGTCAATATATCCACTAGGAAACCCAGGTTTCCCTTGCTAAGGATGAGTTTCTGTTCCAACATGATGAAAATGTCCTGGGCAGACGCGTCTTGGATTTTCCCTCGTGGTAGATGTCCGTCCAAGGTGACCAGTGACCGGAGACTTCGGACCTCTTCTCGTGTAAGGTTCTCGGAGATTTTATGGTACAGAACGTTACGTGGGGATAGTAGAGCCATGGTGGTCGGGTGGCACTTAACACATCACCTACATTGTCATATGAACATGGAAAACAATAGAAACTTACCTAGAGCCAAAATGTACTCAATGGGACTCTACAATGAGATGAGATGTAATTGAAAACGTTATGTACATGTATGATGTTCTGTGAATGACACATAACACTTGTAAAATACAGTACGTAGAGTTACGCGTTATGAACACCCGGAAGTGATAGAAGGTAGCAGGGCAGTATTTTGTTTTTCACATATTTAAATGCACATTAATGTTTATGGGGTTCTCACAGGAACTTGAATATGTTTGTGTTGCAGTTAAGATGTTTTAGAGACTGTTTTTGTAAATACACACGACATGCTTACCTCTTAAGCGTAGGACCCTCCTAAGTTACCAATGTCGGAAGTGATTGGAGGTGTGCGTCAACAACAACCTGTCTCTTGATACAAGCACCTCTCGTATTGGTCAAACATATAGCCTGTTTACCTCAGTCTGAGATTTAGATACGGTCATATTTACCTGTAGGCAACTGTTCGATACCCACAACAAGGTCAACATAACGGTTTGGGCAACATTCGACTGCAAAATCGCTGTGTTGTGAATGGTCGTCACTATTTACGAACAACTAATCATGAAAGAGGTTACATACCTCAGGTGTTTTGTAACAGCCAATCAGGAGCCTTGTTACATAGCGCAGGTGTTTCGTACCGAGAACATGGTTGACCTCTGCACTTCAGGGGTCACCGCCTCGAGGGTAGTGTACTTTGTAAATGAATCGAATCGAAAGGCTGATCATATTTGTTTTGTTGTTTCACCTTCCATCTTAGCTGGGTTATTCAAGATGGCGGCCCCCATGACCATGTGGAATGCGGAAGTGACCTTCATTCATGATCATGTTAGCCCCCCCCCCCCCCACCTGTGTTAGGGGCAAGTGGGCCGCGGTTGATAGTATGTGAATAATTATTTGTCAAATACTGTTTACTAATATAAAATGCTACTTCACTCGCAAAGAATGCTAAAAAAAGATCCAAATTGATATTCACCACACACACACAGGCACACACACACACACACACACACACACATAGACGAACATACATGTACATGCGTGCGCACACACTACTAGATGACTTCTAGTAAACAATTGCAAAAGAGGACAATGCAATATGGCCTTCTGTAAACACACCAACACAAGGTCAATTTATTACAAAAGATTAGAAGATCATATCCATTTTAGAAATATATCAATCCATTTTACATTGACAAGTACAAGAAGTTTATTTTTTTAAATATTGTCACACTTTTCTACTTCGAGATAACTTCATCACAGTTAGTTACAAGTCACACATCTGTATCTGTGTAGGTATAGCCGGTATAACCGCCTTTCGGCGTGACACACCAGCTTCACAGGCACGCGGCGCGGCGGCAGCTGGCTGTATTACACCGATCGACTTGTTACACCTAACCCTTGAACTTCTAGCTCTAGACTTTGTTTAAAGCTATCTATTGACAATGCCCCTACTGTACTTGGTGACAGTGAGTTCCACTCTGCAATAGTTCTAGGAAAGAATGAATTCTTGAACACCTCAATCCTTGGTTGATAACTCTGGTACTTGAAGGCATGACTATTTCTTGTTCTATTCTGGGCTGGTACTAGGTACTTAGTAGTTGGGACATCCACCAGTTTATTAGTCATTTTGTACATCATGCATAGTCTGGAAATCTTTCTTCTGTCTTCCAGTGAGACCCACTGTAGGTTTCTTTTTATTTCCGTGACACTAGCACCTCTTTCATAGTTGATGTTCATACAAGCCTAGTAAAGATCTATGTCATAACTAGTTACAAAAAACAACTGGACACTGAATGATTAATATCTAGATGGAAAAAACCATGGCCAATGTCACTATTGGAATGGAGGACGGCCTAGTCGTTGAGGTAGTGTGTTGGCTGGTTGTTTACCCAACAATTTGAACAACAGTCTGTCGAATTTCTCTTTCCCATACTCGGGAGGGTCTTCTATTGGCCCATACATGTGTGCTCCCCTGAGGAATTGCGGAACATGGTTCAGATTGATCTTATCAAAGAAAACAGGAATGAACTTGTTAAGGTTTCTACCGTTGGCAATTTGACCATAGATAACCTTTCCTTCAAAGCGGACACCATGACCAAAGACTGCTACCTCATTCTTCTCGCCCGTGACACATTCCAGATAATGTGGACTGCAGATCATCAGTACATAATCTGCTTTAGTAATTTGTTTTTCCATCCAGTTTGTCCAACTGTCTGGAGGAATATATTCCTGGTACTGATCGATCCACGCATCCACACCATACTGGCGTAGTTTGTCAGCTAGGGCCCTAACCCTCCTCCTTTGTGTGCGCCGATCATCTCTACGTTCTCTGTCTGAGCGGGTTCCAACCGGGTAAGGGTCCATGCTGTAGGAGATGAACACTGGAAGAAAAAAGAGAACTGCTATTTTTTTTTATTTGTCATTGTGCATCTCAACATCATCTTACATGTTCGTTCATCATTATATTGTTTGACTTTTCTTTTCATAAGAAAAACCATCAAAAGTTATTACAACCA